TGCCAATGATACAATGAGTTTGGAGAAACTGCTTTTCTTTTAACATTCAATCTAGATGAAGTTGCATTTAATTCATAATTTTGCATTTGATATAAGCTAGGAGTTAAAACATATAGATTATCTTTCAATGCACCAGAAGTTATAACACAACCATTTAATTTAATTAAAACATTTTTTCTAAAAGTAAAAATATAATTTTTGCAAACCAACGAAGAAACTGAAATTAAATTGTGCCTAACATTTAGCGCATAAAGACAATCTTCTAAAATAAGACTCCTCCCACTATCAAACTGCATATGAACCACTCCCACTGCTTTAGCTTCCACCTTGGCATTAGATCCCATATGCAAGTATATCTCTCCTTCATTGAGGCTTCTGGACTCCTGGAATCCCTGCAATGAATTGCAAACATGATTAGTGGCTCCAGAATCTATGCACCAGGAATCTATAGATTCAACCACATTACATGCCTCAACAATGAATATACCTTTTCCTTTGCCTTGTGTGCGAAGTATTGGGCAGTTAGGTTTCCAGTGACCCGGTTGACCACAATGGAAGCAGTTTCCTTCGCCTTCAACCCGCACTTTCTTCTTTCCCTTATCCTTTTGGATTACTTTGTTTGGCACAACCACAGTTTTGGCACCATCCTTCTTCTTTTTCTTGCCCCTCCTCTTGGGCCTAGAAGTGGATGGTCCAGCAGACTGAGTGTAGTTGATAGATGCACCCTTACTTTTGTTTATCCCTTCAAAGGTTACCAACTCATTCATTAGTTTAGCGAGTGTGTACTCAAGCTTATTCATATAATAATTAACCCTAAAAGAGTTAAATGAGTCTGGCAATGAAGCGATAATCATGTCAACCTGAAGTTCACCATCCAAGTTGCATCCAAGGATCTCCAGTTCATTTAAAAAACTAATCATTTTTAAAGCATGTTCCCGAACTGAAGTACCTTGGACCATCTTAATGGTCATCAAATTTGTCATAGCATTTTGGTGTGCACTCTTACCAATTTGCCCAAACATTTCCTTAAGGTTAAGCATGATGTCTGCAGAAGTGAGATATTGAAGATGTTGACTTTGGAGTACATTCGAGAGTGAAGCAAGAATTTAGCACCTAGTCATCTCATCTGCTTTATTCCATTTCTTAAATACTTCATGCTCCTCAGGAGGATCCTCAGGCAAAGGTGGAGAAGGTCTAGGAGTAGTAAGCACATAATTCAACCCCTCATATGTGAGTACAATATCTAGTTGCCTTTTCCAATCAATATAATTAAGTCCAGTTAATCGATTTTCTTTTAGTATGTTTGCAAGTGGACTGAATGGACTAGTCATGATAAATCTGAAAATAAAAGCATTCATACAATAAATAAAGTGAATAATAATAATCATGCAAGTATAAAATAATTAATTAATTGTGGGTCCCTTAACCACATTGCATGAAAAATCGGACAATCAATATGCCAATAACTTATCCGGTTGGCGGAATTCATTATTGCTTATTGACGAGAACAACTCATTATCCCATATCTCTTTAGACAATGCCTTATCTAAATATGAAATAATTCCCGATTAGATTTAGCCTTTCTAAAATCACCTAATATAGACCACTCCGTTGGGGAGCTAATACTATTAATTTTAGATTGAGTGTATAACATAATTAATGCTCCAACGGAAAAACAAATATTAAATATATTGCCATTAATAGCTTAGACTCTTTAAATCATGCGTAGGGCCTTATTTTTAAAGATCTAACTATAATGGTTATTTAATAAATATATTTTCGTGAGACAACCATTCTTATAATCTAGACTCTTTAAATCATGCGTGGAGCCTTATTTTTAAAGATCTAATCATAATGGTTATAATTACGAAGGCCATGGGGTAATGTATAAAAAATCCCTGCTCCCACTCAATTTTTAATAATATAAAACTAGGGTTTTCAATTCATGATTTAATGCATGCAAAACGCCTTGATTTTAATCCAATTAAATTTAGAAAATATATGGATTTTAAATGATTCACTAATCTTTAATTTGAGGCAAAAAATAATTTACAAAAATATTTTTTTCCTGTTTCCCAATAAATGCCCTCAAATTAATTAGCAATCTAATCCAATTTATCTTCATAATTTAATTAATATAAATCAAGCCATTTAATTAAAAATCATGGATCCAATGCATGAACAATTATAATAAGCATTAAATTATTCCATGCATCAAATAATAGACAGAAGCAATATAAATGGCCAATGGATTCAGCTTTTAACATTTAAAAACTATTCTTGCTGTACGGGCATCCTTCAACTGTTTGTAAACACTCATAGGAAGCTTGTACGCGTCAGGAGAAGCAAAACACCGCTTGGAACGAGCCCGGAGGACCCCACACGTGCTGGCACGCGCCTAGGGCAAGCTGCACGCGCTCCCACGCGCCCCCACGCGCCTGCACGCGCTTGGGGCGCGTGGAATGCACCCTCACGCGCTCCTACGCGCCTCCACGCGCCTTCCCGCGCGTGGAGAGTACCAACTCCTTGGCTGGCGCGTGAGATCCACGCGCCAGCTTGTCATTGACCAGCCCACTCCTGGCGCGTGTGGAACACGAGCCAGGCTCACCTAGCCGCTGCCACACCTGATCCGGGCCACCTCCGACGCCTCTTCTCGCCGCCGGCGAAGCTCCGGCCACTGGAAGAACGCCGAAAGATTCCAAAAAAATCCGGAAAAATCCCAGAAAATTAAATTAAGATTCAAAAAATTCCCGAAAAATTCGGAAAAATTCCAGAAAATTACTGAAGCATAATTTAACCCTTTCGGACCCTCTTGAAACTTCATAGCATCCTTTGATGAATATTACATGGTTTTAATAAATTCTTACAATTTAAAATACAATGGAAAAAATTAAATTACATCATTGAATTTTCAAACGGCTAAAACAAAGCCTTAATTATATTCATCCAAAAATAAAATTACATTCTATATACCTATAAGCTTCATCCATGGCCCAAACACACATCATCATCCATTCACAATTATACATACATCAACATGTATTAATATATACCAACATAATAAATCATACATCAACATAGATCAATAATTTTATATATGTATATATAATTTGGATCCATGAATATGATTTTTATAAACACATGTTCTCTAGTTATAAATCAAACCATGTGCTCTGATACCACTGTTGGGAAACGTGCAAGTTTTTAAAACTTTTGAGGGATTTACAATCACGGATCTTGATTCATCACACAGAGACAAGTTTTATGCAAAGATAAATAAAAGATGATGCATAATTCAATAAACAGATTGAATACTTACATCAAAGGTTTGAGTAAACCTTTTGAACTTTCCTCTAAAGTGAATGTTCTCACTTATTGTAGATCCCTTTAGCAAGATCCTTTCTCCTTCCGTTAGATTATTATCTTCCCTTTAGGAATCACAAATATGCCTTGATGAATGACCTTGGAATCTAGGCTGGTGGTAGCCTCCTTTAGAAGAGAAAACAAAACCCTAAAATCTAGAGAGAGAAAGTGTATTCCTTTTTCTTGTTCTCCAAGTCACACCTAAAATATACATGAACTCATGTATATATAGGCAAAATAAAAATAAGAATAAGGAAACAATAAATCATTCTCCACCTCTAATTCAACTTTCTCAATTCTAACATGACTCCAATATCAACTTGGGCTATTGGTGAGAATCCTTTTGGGCTTACTATTTTCTTGGCTCCTATAAATTAATAATTGGTCCGGTCCATTAAACCATGGACCCAATTCAATTAATTCATAAATTAATTTCTACTCCACTAAAAGAAATTAATTGCACTCCAATTAAATAGTAAATAACATCTAAGTCAATGTTGCACTTTGACACCTCTATGCTTAATTATTTATCGGATAATTAAAGCCATCAATCCGACAATATAATTAATATAATTATTTTGTTACCTTTGATTATTTTCGGCTCGATCACAATAAAATATTTATTTGACAAAAAATAATAATAATTTATTAAATAAATATATGTATAAAACATTTGTCTAAAACATACGAAGGCCTTCGAATTTAATTTGTGATCAACCATAATCAAAACAAAATAAATACAAATAGCACTAATGCAAATATTGAGAATATAGACCTCTAATTATTAATTACATAACTACCCAAAGTGTCGATCTAAGGATCCCGAGGTATCTGCCGAACAAATCAAAGTAATTATTAATTAATAAAATTGTCTATACTTCTCTCATACTTGAGAGCCAAAAGCCATGACAGTGATAGAGAGCAATTGCATACGACAGCTCTCGCAATATATCTCAATCTATCGTGGACTCGGTTTAAGTCTTAACTAATTAAATGTCCATCCATAATTACCGACTTTAAACTATTTATGATTACTAATTTATATCATAGTATTAATTGCCATTACATACATATATAAATATATTTTGTAATCAAGCAGACACCATCAATTCCATAAAGAATCGAAAAATAATACATTCCATTCACTAATTGTATAATGCTTTAATAATAATATCCAAATAAGAAACCATTACTTTTACAATCCAAAATTAGAATTTGCTATGCTAGGGCACACATATCCTAACAAGGCTAACTTTAGGAAATTCAAGCAGATTGTTCCACGGAAGGATTAAAGATTTATCGAAAATATTTCTTTTTTCAGTTCACAAGTAACTAAGAGAAATATTGTTGAAAGTTAGAACACTCCCAATTTAAAACCCTTACAAAAAGGTACCCAAAACTACTAAAAATTTAGCAAAATATGAAATTGAGAAGCTTGCCATTCTTGGTATTAGGGAGGATGTGTCCAAGTTCTAAGTATCTAACCTCCGTAACCCTTCCGGGAAAGTTATATACTTGCTCAACTCAACAATCTCTGGATATAGCTCTCTGATTATTTCAGCCAAAAGAGGTTCATCCATCATTTCTGCCACCAGTGCTTCCTCCATTTCTCGGTATCAGAAGACGAGTAATCTGAATCAGATGCCATCCTCATCTTTTTCAACTAGTGAAAGATCTTCAGTCTCTCCATGCACTTTGAATTCCAGACGCCTACATCAAGAATCATAATATTAAGAGCATAATTCTCAAATAAATAGAGATTTTCTAAATAAATGTCATAATTTTCATACAGCACTACCCCATACCCCATTTATTCACCATTCCACTCAGTCATAGCAATTGTAGCTACTATAATTTGCTCTTCAGTTTTACCGTCCATGCTTCATGGTATAATAGACCCACCACGAATAATACGCGTACAACATGATCACAACAATTTCATGGATCAGAGACTACATAACCTACATAGGAGATCTAGGCATTCTCTTGGCGTGCACCATTTCACACATAACTTTCTTTTTAAAAAATATAACATCTTGAGAACTAGGGGGAAGATGACATATTAGTATTCTTATATTTATTTCTGTTAGACAACTTACTATATATAATGTGTAAGGCTTTGCTGCTGCGGCATGGCTATAGCTACAACCACTAGTAACATTTAACCAAAATAACTAAATAAATCAAGTAGGTAAGCAGTCTACATTTGAAAAATAAATATTAATTAGGACCTAAAGATAAATGGACATAGGACAACATTTACAAGATGAGAAGACCAGTATGGAGCATCAGATTTTACAGCATTATCTCTGCAATTTCCATATGTTAATTAGGCATGTAACACCATTGGGTTCAATGGAAAAAAAAAAAAATGCAAATAATACTGAGGATATAAAAATACGAACAGGGCAGATGAGATATCCTTGAAAAAGAAAAGGTAAAAGAGCAAACACAAATTACTTGCCCAAATGAGGAAAACCGGCCCAGGGGGCGCGGGGCAACATTCAAAAAACCTTGAGAATTTCCAAAAGTGCTAATATCTGAAGCCTAAATAACAATATGGTGTCAGCCAGTTTATAGACCTAACCTATGGCATCATTATACATAAAGTGACTGTTCTCAAGATTAAATAAATAGTTGTTACTTAAGTTTCAAAATGAAAATTAATTCATTTTTATGTTTTCAATTTTTTAGAAAACACTTCACCTTTTGAATTACCTTATAAATTTAATCATATCTTGTGAGTACTCCATGAGGCACATGAATTAACACTAAAATAAGCCCCGAGTGCAATAATGAAATATGTTAACTTTATTAAGTTTGGCAAATATGCAAGTTAGCCCAATAAAAAAAAAAAAAAAAAAAAAAGTAAAAAAAAAGGAGTTTCAAAGGCACCAAGCTCTTTAAAACACGCACAGACACATATATATAACACATATAAAACGAAAATCAATGGACGAGGAATTTTTTTTTCTTACCAAAGCATTTTACATTTTTTACTATATCAACCACGTAAAGATAAAATGAGTTAGTGAGCACTAAAAATTCATGAACATAATTAAATTAGCATCATCAAAATGAAAAGGAAAAACAAAGCGTTGTAAATATAAGATATAAAAACCCAAGGGGTTGGCTCAAGTAAATAAGAACTTAGCCCTGCTGCCTTAGGAAGCATCAGGTCTAAGGTTCGGGGGAATAACAACCTGGCGTAAGGAACCATAAAATTATACATCCAAATAAGTAGTACACATTGTATGAGTGAACATATCAATGCTCAAATTAATAACACCCACCTAGCCAAGCTTGAAACAATAAGAAAAAAAGCTATATACAAAATAAATAAATTTATTAATTTAAATCAAGTTAAATTAAAATGTAAAGAGAATCAGACAGGAACCACAAAAAAAAAAAAAAAAAAAAAAAAAAAGAAAAGTACAACATTAAGAACAGAATCTAAAGAGTCTCTCAACTACTTGTAATCATAAAGTTTGTCAGCAAAGCAAGTGGAAGCTTCCTGACTATGAAGGGTAGTTAATTCAAGCCAATACCAGCTAGTTTGTGCATGCACACATGCATTACCAACAACCAAATTTGCAGCTAACCTCCACATCCAAACGCTAGCATCCTATATCGAATACACTTGAAAAGTAGCACAAAATATAAGTTGTTATTATGTAATTCAAATTAAGTCTTTCTGTTATCATTTATGATTGAAGGTCAAACTACTTCTCGAAATGGTGCAAATCAAGGACAATGGAATATGTAAGAAGGAGAACATAATCTCTTTTGAGTGATTCTCAGTTGCAAACCTTTTTATTGCTCAGAGGTAAGTGATTATAGGCCAACAATCTTCGGTTGTATTGGATTATTTTTTTTCTTTCTGAAATTCAATAGTTGCAAGATTGTCGATTACAAACAAGTTAGTATAGAATCATTAACAAAACTACCAATGGGCTCTAGCCTAGATGGTATAAGCTCTTCTCCTTCTTTGGCAAGATTGAGTGTTCGAGCTATGGTGGGGACAAAAATATATAGTGGGTGTGTGCGTTTGCTTGAACTTTCAGGGCAAAACAAAAAAATCTTTATAAAACACCAATGGAATTAATCCACGTTGTCCAAATACTTTACATAGAAACTGTTCTTAAATTTTTCTACAACATCAAAAATTCCATAGAATTACCCAAATTTCAATGTGTAGACACAGTATTTGGTTGTTATTCGTGGAATCTTGTAATGATGAGCTTATTCTATAGAAGGCTTTGGGGAAGGGGTGGATGTTAGGAATATTTAATAAAATCATAAAAATTATTAAATAATTATTTTATAATGATTTTTATTATAAAAGTTATTAGTATCTTTATTACCTTAACAGAGTTATACTCTCGACCTTATAAAAGGAGTCTCCATCATCTCTCAAATGGTATTCTACTTCATTCTTCCTATCCATTTCACACTCCTATATAGATCTTCTCTTTTTTCAAGCCATTATACACACACATATTTACATATACATATATGTAAATCTTAGTTTATCTTTACGAGTTTATGGGCAATCTGGCAAAAATTTTGTGAGTTGATGGGCAATTTGGTGAACGTGCTCATTGAGAGACGCGGCTACAAGCATCTAAGTTTGTATATTGGAGTTGTTATAAACTTTCAGAACCGGCATATAGGGAGGCTATTGCAACTTTAGGACAGTGCCTGGCATGTTGCTCCATCTCAAAGACCAAATTTTCCTTTCTCAGTATTATTGTTTACTTCTATGTAATTCAAATTCTTCATATTATGTAAATTGTAGTTTATATATACTGCATCTCTTTTAAAATTTTAGTTTAAAGTTATGGATGGCAAGATTGATATTGTAGAAAGTGGTTGAGAAAATGTAGATTCTAAACATTTGACTCTCACATTAACAAAAAATTATCTAATTGTACAAATTTATTGAACAAGATAGTCTTTTGATGCCGAAGCAAGTCACAACTTAAGTCCTCACACAAGATGGCCGTATAAAAAGATATGTTGCTGAAAGCAAGTTCCCGAAGAAAGAAGGGAAAAAAAAAACACTGCAAAGATGAAAGATTCATATATTTTCGTTGTCATAATTTCCAAATGCAAATTAGTGATGAAATAAAAGAAAACAAGAATATATGACATCATCATCAAAATATATAAATACAGTTAAGTGTTAAAGTACAAACAAGCACATCTTTACCTTGAATAGATATTCAGCACCACCACATTATCTCCAACAACAGCTTCCTTTAGTGGAATGAAACTTGGAATATGAGCAATTGCATCAAATTTTGATGTAATGCCAAAAGTCTTAAGATGTTTAAATTTTGGTCCGTTGGGGTCATAACAGATTAGAGAACTTGTAAAATAATGAAACATCAATACTGCTCCTTCTTCGAGGTACTTTATTGGCTGATATAAACCAACAGGCCACCTATAATCAGTTAGGGTATCAATAGAAAACATTTTTGTCCAGGATTCTGGGACACCATATTCCTTCAAAACCCATATGTTAATATAATTGGAGGCTTCACATATGCATAGACAATCTTCCAGTACTCCCATGGAGATATTACGCATCATACTCAACCTATCCCAGTTGGCGTCATGATTTTTAAGAGGAGGTGGTGGAACCGATTGGAACTGCTCATCGTCAAAGCTGAAAGAAACTATATAATCAGAACTTGGGAATCCAAGACACAACCAATGAAGAAATCCCTTTAGATAGGTGGGAAACGCAAGCTTGTAAGATGAACTGAGACCATCATCAATGCATTTCCATGATCCTGTGCCGAGTGTGTATATCTCAGTAATCCTAAATTCTCTCTTGCGACCATGAACCCATTCATTAAATATTCTAATCACCTTGTATTGATTAGTCCTTGGACTAAAACCGAACCCACAATCAACAAAATCTTTCTTTTTCTCACTAGCCCTCTTATCCCGTGGAACGTTTATATACTCACCCGTGATTGGATTACACACAACAACAGGGTCATTACACGTTGGCTCAGCCAAGCAAAGGAAACCGTGGCATGAATTCACAATTTTGAATCTTTGATCTTTGGGTTTAACTTTGACGCAGCGTTTCCTTTTAAACCCACTGCCTTGAGCATCACCAACTTCACCATTGAGCGCCAGTTCCTCACTGCGCCATGGGATCTTCAATTTGGTGTCAAGCTTCATGTGGCAAGTTCTAATGCAATCATGAGTGTAATAGTCACCATAACAACTGCAGTACCCGAGATTAAAATTGCGGCAAGTTTCAGGCTCAACCAAGTAAAGCGTTCTTGACACACGTTTTGAACCCAAGGTCCGAAGCAAAACACATGCCTCTTGCCCTGAAAAGTGCAGCTTGGCAAATTGGGGGTCCGAAATTAGACTACGCCAAGTTTTGGAAACGCACCTGCAAAGAAGAATCATCTTCACAGGAAGTCTTAGCAGAATATCAACGAAGATGGGCAACGAAAGATCCGTAATCGAACAATACAACCTCTGAATATGTTTATCATCCGCTGCTTCTTTTTCTCCTTTCATGGCCTAGCTACAATTTTAACAAATCTGTGAAAATAGATATGGAGGTCAGTGACAAAGAGGATTTAATTAAACCCTAAAAAAAATTTGAATGACCTTAGTTTCCTGAAACAAATAAGATAGCATGAAATAGTAGTACTTGTAATCTTCAAAACAGTTTCTCAACTACTTGTAATCTTCACATAAGTTTTATAATAATAAAATATCAGATTAAATCTACGGAAAATGAATAAAAAGTAAAAATTGAAGTAATGAAAGATGATTAATTTAAACCCTAAAAGCAACAGTACCAGATTAAATCCGTGGAAATGGAATAAAAAGTAAAAATTGAAGTCATGAAAGAGTATTAATTAAACCCTAAAACCAACCGTATCAGATTAAATATGTGGATTTGGAATTGTTTGCACCATAAAATTAAATATTTATTCGGCCACATGGCACAAGTTGATTGGAGAGTACGTTGTTGATCCAATTAATTAGAGTGATTTGATTGGTGGATGATTTCTTATAATGGGCTGCAATAATAAAGGATTATTTTACAGTTAGTGCAAACACTTAAGACTTTTATTCAAATTGAAGTCTAAAGTAAACAATTGTCTGATTTAAAGCTACGTCAGTTTTTATTCACAAAAGATAAAAGGGGTTGCATTTAGATAAGCTTAAGACAATGGAAGTTGTTAATTCAAATACGATATTTGAATTTGAAAAGAAAAGTGACGGCTAGAAATAACTGCTACTACAAGGTTTCTCTATAAATAGAGACAAGAGGAGTCTGCACAAAGGTCCCCGACCAACACAACGCATTTTCTTTATGACTATTTTTCATTCTCTGCAATTTCATTTAGCCTTTAAGTTGTATTTTACTTCTGTTCATAGGAGTAGTCTCTAGTGTTAGATTTATAATTCTTGTACTCTGTATGAGAATTTTACTTATGAAATAAAAGTCGACGCTTGACTTCAGTCCCCTTAACTTTTATTTTCTAAGTCTCTTGGAATAGATGAATGCTCGTGTAATTTGTTTTACTCCTTTCATCCATTCTACGTATAGTGCTGAAAGTCCTCTTTATTGAGGCGTTGAAGAACCTGAAGGAAGGGGTCATCCTTATCTTCCAGCAGTCGCCTAATTCACTAAGGGCCTATTTCATATTCGGTTAGAACCAAGAATAGTTTGGCTATCCAACCCATTGGGTCGAAAAACTCTGGCACGCCCCTAAAAGAAAAACAGCCAAACAATTTGGCACACCCGGTGGGACACCGGAAGTGTTTAAATTCAACTTTTATCTATGGCATTTACTCGGTCTCAGTCACAAAATTTGCCTAAGAGATAGCCTCAACATCAAGAACAAGGGGCTGAATTTGAAGTGAATCAACAGCCTCAACATCAGGAACAAGAGGCTGAAGTGGAAGTGAATCAACAGCCAAGTAATCAGATGTTGGTTGAGAATGTTAACAACTTAGTGCAACGGATGAAAATTTCCAGCTGTACCTTTCATGGAGCACTAGAGCCAATCCATAACACATTGGCTAATTTAAGTAACTCTTTGACCTTCCTATCAATAAGGTTTGATCAACACCTTATGGCACAGTCAAATACTACAGACACTTTGTTGCATGCACAACAACAAGTTCCAGCGCCTGTTGGGGTTCAACAGAATTACTACCAACAACAGCGGCAAGGGTTTCAACCCCTTCTATAGCCATTGCATGGACAAGATCAACCCCATGTTAATCAAATGCAGGCTAATCAGCTGTAACATAAGACACCAACAGAGTACCAACTAATCGGAGGGGCCAATCAGAATGTGAATTGGCCACCACTTAATCCGATTTATCAACACCAATAGGTATGTTAACCCCAAGAGGGGCGAGATAATTTTAATATTGGTTTTAATTTTCAAGCGCCTCAGCCTCAGGCGTTGTATATGCCTCAGCCTCAGGTGCTGAATGTGCCTCAGCCTCATGCGTCGAATGTGCCTCAACCTCAGGCGCCGTATGTGCCTCAGCCTCAAGCGCCGAACGTGTCACATCCTCAGGCACCTTATATACATCAGCTTCAAGCACAACAACCAGATCATCAACCCTTAATGGTTGATAGAGATCAATTGGCTAATTTAATTCAAGAAACTTATAGACCAACCAGAAGAAATGTTGGTCTCCTTACATATAGGAAGCCATATCCGGGTTATATAGACCGATATGCATTTCTAAGAGGCTATAAAGTTCTCGATTTCGTTACCTTTTCGGGAGAAGACTCCACTTCGACCATAAAACATATTGGTCGATTTACCATTCAATGTGGTGAGGTTGGAGCGAATGAATTTTTAAAATTAAGGTTATTTGCTAATTCCCTTAAAGGGACCGCATTTTATTGGTATATAAATTTGCCGGTAAATTCAGTCTATACTTGGCAACAATTGGAAGAAATGTTTCATACCCAATTTTATAAGACCAAATCAAAGGTATCGATGGCTGACTTATCTAGGCTGTCCCAAATACCTGGAGAGATGGCTGAAGCCTTTATTGGTAGGTTTAAAAGGGCAAAACACAAATGCCAAGTAGCCCTTCCAGAAACTGAATATGTGAGTCTAGCCTTTAATGGTTTAGATTTTGAATTACGAAGGAAATTTAAGGGAATGCAATTTCGAGATTTGTTCCAATTAGCCCCAAATTATGAAATTCACGTGACAGAGGCGTTGAATAATAATTATGTCAAAGATTCTACTTATGAGAATCATTTGACAAAGGCTGAAAATGGCATTAAAGTTGACGCTGCAGAATTGATAAAAATCAAGCGTTACATATGTCAAGTGTTAAAAAAGCCTCTGGAAAGGGTTAATGGTGTTCAGGTGTTGAATTCAATAACCATAAGGACACCAAAAGAGGCTGAAAAATAATATAATTTTGAACCAAGGCTTATTTGGCCTTGGGGAGCAACTCGTTCGGCCCTAAGAAGCCCCAAAAGGCGGAAAGAATTTTCGTTCGATCCTGGAGGACCCATTAGGTTGATTAACCACTTGGGGTACCAAAGAAGAATAGGTTATTGTGACCAATTTAAATTATGATTTGTTGATTGACAGCCAAATATGCACGTTTTGATTGCAAATGTCAACAATTTAGTGCTGAGATTGAAAATTACCAGGGGGCTAAACGCAATCAGCCTCTACATAATTCAATCCTGCACCTAAACCACTTACTTGTCACGTTGGTGGTAAGGTTTGATTAGCACCTCAATCGATTAAGTGCTCAAAATGATTGTATGGTAAATGTGTTGTAGTTAGGATGTGGTTGAAAGATTGCTTATAAGCGAAAAAAAAATGGGCTAACGACAATAAGGTGCTGATCGGAAAAGCAATCGAAGAATTGCAGAAGATATAGGGACTGGTTAGTTATGCAAAGGGCCGAATAAGAGTGGCTGATTTAAATTGTGATCCATCAATTCAACTCTTTAAAATTTCGGTCTGTCCTTATTTCAAAGAGTTGGGGGGGGGGGGGGGGGGGGGCATTGTTTGCACTATAAAATTAAATATTTATTCGGCCACATGGCACAAGTTGATTGGAGAGTAAGTTGTTGATCCAATTAATTAGAGTGAATTGATTGGTGGATGATTTTTTATAATGGGCTACAATAATAAAGGATTATTTTACAGTTAGTGCAAACATTTAAGATTCTTATTTAAATTGGAGTCTAAAGTAAAGAATTGTCTGATTTAAAGCTACGTCAGTTTTTATTTCAAAAACACTTTTATTTGGATAAGCTTCAGACAAAACATAAAAGGGGTTGCATTTAGATAAGCTTAAGACGAAGAAAGTTGTTAATTCAAATACAATATTTAAATTTGAAAAGAAAACTGACGGCTAGAAATAACTGCTACTACAAGGTTTCTCTATAAATAGAGACAGGAGGAGTCTGCACAAAGGTCCCTGACCAACACAACGCATTTTCTTTATCAATGTTTTTCATTCTCTCCAATTTCATTCAGCCTTTAAGTTGTATTTTACTTCTGTTCATAGGAGTAGCCTCTAGTATTAGATTTATAATTCTTGTACTCTGTATGGGAATTTTACTTATGAAATAAAAGTCGACGCTTGGCTTCATTCCTCTCTACTTTTATTTTCTAAGTCTCTTGGAATAGATGAATGCTTATGTAATTTGTTTTACTCTCTTCATCCATTCTACATATAGTGCTGAAAGTCCTCTTTATTGAGGTGTTGAAGAACCTGAAAGAAGGGTCATCCTTGCCTTCCAACAGTCGCCTGATTCACTAAGGGCCGATTTCATATTCGGTCATCACCAAGGATAGTTTGGCTATCCAACCCATTGGGTCGAAAAATTCTGGCACGCCCCTAAAAAAAAATAGCCAAACAAGAATAAAAAGTAAAAATTGAGGCCATGAAAGACGATTAAATTAAACCCTAAAAGCAACGACCCAGAAAAAAAATGAGGGAAAAAGAGAAAACTTGAAGACATGATTTAAGGAAATAGAAAGCTACAACACAAAACCCTACTCACCAACAAAATATATACTATGAAATACTATTTGTGTGTGTGTGAGAGAGAGAGAAAGAGATTTACCTGGAACAAATCGGGAACACTTGCTGAGAGAGAGAGATGGGAATGAAGTTGAATGGTGAAAAAAACAAAAGACAGAGAGGCGGGAATAAATTGATCGGGCCCACTGTTGTGAAATTTTAACCACGGTTAAATTTTACTCAACTTCTAAACCAGTTAAGAGTTCCAACCTTGTATAATTAAGGAGTTCCAAACAATAAAATCCATTCCAAATATGATTTTTTATTTTTATTTTTATCAACCATCACTTGGAGTAATTAGAATTTCAATCTCAAATTGAACCTCGATCAAAGATTGTAATACACCCAATTCAAAATTCTAGGGCATACAAGGACACTCTAATTACACACCGTCCGAGCTAAATCTAAAGTTTAATATCTCATTTTACATCATGATCAATCAAAATTGTTTAATATCTCATTTTACATCATGA